CCCACCCTGTCTCCATAGCAGAGGTGCTCCAGCCCTCGAATCATCTTCGTGCCCTCCTCTGGCCCTGCTCCAGCAGCTCCAGCACGTGTTGTGTGAGAAGTCTTAGAAGATAAACTTTCCAATGGAAGAAATCTTGGGATCTCCCACCCTTTTTTTTCTTTCAAGATGGAAACCAGCGGCCACGGCTCCTGCTGACTGCTCATGTGAAAGGGATGCTGCTCCGGAGGGGCTGGTGGCAGCACAATATTCCGGCTGTCACTCCAATACTTACCAATATGCTCCAGCGTCAGAGCTCAGAAATCAATAGCTATCTAGTGATGGCGTTCTCAGCTGAGAAGATTTAGTCACTTTCTGGGAAGGAATCCAAACAACGTTTAAAACGTGTTTGGATTTTTTTCCATAGCGCTGCAAAAAAGGTCGGAGCAAGAGAAGAATGACATCAGAAGATGGAACAGTACAAATCCACCACACAAGGTATGGCTACACAAAAATCCCATCCCTCTCACCTCCCCAGACGATTGTTGCAATAATTTTGCAGTTCAGTCGAGCTTCAAATTTGTCATCTCCAGCTACAATGAAATTCATGATGCTTTATCTGGTTTCCCTCACCCAGTCCAAAAGGCACAAACAAATCCTGATTTCTGTTACCACTCAGAGCTCCGGCTGCGAAGCGACCACAGGAAAAGAAAAAAAAACTCATTTATAGTATTCTCCTGTACATTTATAATAATTTGTTTCAATTACAATTTATCCATCTTAGAAGAGGAAGAGGCAATGTTGGTGAGGCATGGCCTGATCCTGCAACGCTGCGTGTACGTCCGCCTCGCATGGGGCTTTATGAACTCTCAGATGCTGAGCTTCTCTGCAATTAGGCGTGGAAAACAGAAAATAAAAAGGGTCTGAAAGCTGTGTGTGATATATGAGGCTGTACCACACAGGTGGTGTCCAAGGAAAATCGCAAATATCAGCGCAACTGCCAGCCCAGCACACTGCTACATCATCTTGCCACCTGTCTGTTGTTTTTTAAATGAAAAGTTTTAGCTAAATACAGAATTTTTTAAACCACCAGTGACAGTCACAGTCACTAAACATTGCAGTTGCAGCAGAGAAGAAAATAATTTGTGGTGCCTTCACCTTGAATTTCCATGGCTGCTGCTGAGCACATTTACCTGGAAGCCGGCTAGGAGTGAGCCCACGGACCCTGCCTGCCACAGCCGGGGGATGGCATCCCTGGGGAGGTGGCATCCCTCAGGAGGTGGCATCCATCCAGATCAGTGGGCAAAGCAACAAATCACCTTGGGATATTTTTCCACATGTAAGAATGTGTTTGTAAGATAGAAAAAATAAATGTATATGAAATGTTTGCAATTAAAAGCTTTCGGTTTATATTTTTACATATCTGGTTGCTTAAATCAGACTGACTTGTACATAAACAGAGAAGAAACACTCACATACTCTACCTTTAAAAATACAGGGCTATGTGTCATTTTATATAGCAAAGGATTCCAAATCTCTCTGCTATATCCATCTGATTCGTAAGAAATTACTGTGATTTTTCTGTTTGACTGTTGTGCGGGGCTGAGTCTGTATTCGGGGGGGCAGAGTCGGTCAGGTGCTGGTGGGGAAACGTTTTCTGAGTCGGAGGAAAAGTCTCTTCTCTTTTCTCCCAAGGGGTGAGGTGTGTCATGTCAAGCTACAACTTTCATTACAAGTTATGTCATGGTTTTTTAAGGCAGTTGTGAGAAAAAAAGACACGAGGAATTGTACCATCAGCACAGAATAGAGTCACTTCCAGGTGCCAGGAAAGAAAAAGGCAAATTACGGTCTCATTTCCAGAACGAGTCCCCTGGCCTAAGGAGAAACTCTCCTGGCCTCAGAAGAGTTTCAATGATTTGGAGAAACTCTCCTGGCCTCAGAAGAGTTTCAATGATTTGAGCCACAAAAATTTGAGCTGACTCACTGAAAACTAACTATAATTCAATAAGATTGTTTAGAAAGGAACTACAGAATATCCACTGCAGCTCTCAGTCTCTGTTATTTAAGATTTTTAAAGGTGTGGATGCTCTGTTCATTTAAATTAGGTTCTCTCAAGTCTGCCAAAGGAGAACCACTGAGCAGCAGCTGAAAATTTGGTCCCTCGTAGTTAGTACCAAGACAAATATAAATTCTTAAACATATATTTTTAAAACACCTCTTATAGGGAACAAGCACCACAGCTGACAGCACAGGGCTGATGGCAGCCTGGCAGATTTTTATCTTGGTTTATTAAAAAATATCCTTGGACTACAAGTACTTGGACTATGTTCCTTGTATGTAACTACATTGCGAACAGAACTATTGAATTAAGTAATCTGTAGTGGTGGATCAGTCTAATGAAGTTTCCTCATATTGCTATGGTTAAAATTTAACTGAAGTACTGGATGGAAAATGAGAGACAGGTCTCTTGTCTCTTCTTTCTTTAGAAAGGCTGAAAAGCTTCTCTTTGGGCTCCAGTGCTTGAATTGACTGGTTTCTGCTGTGTAAGTATGTTAAGTACATATATGAAGTATGTAGATTATTTATAAACAAAATGTATAAATTCTTATAAAGCAATGACCTCAAAAGTATCATTAAAGTCCCACATAATTTGAAAAAAATACACAAGACCTTATCATGTAAAAGGCCATTTGTACATCTCAAATAAAATACACTGATTTCCAATGCAATGACTGCTTTAAAGTTTTGAAACAAGAAAATGTAATAGTAGAACAATCGCAGAACAGTATCGCTGCACAAAACAGGTATTTTCTCCCCCCAAGAAATTATTTGCTATTTCAAATTCATAAAAATTAAATCTTTCTATGTCCTTACAGTACAAACCGTGCAAGCTTCAGGAAGTTACCTCAAGATGTTTGTTTAGAAGCACTCTTAAACCAGACTGCTTTCCAAAAATTTTAATTAAAAAAAAATGGATGATCCAGCAGCATGGATTCAGTATAGCACGGAATAATGACATTATAATTAATAGAAATAAAAGCTAATGGAATCTCTTTTACTTCATCCTGACAAGGGATTATTAATTTAGGTTTCAGATTTCATGCAAACAGAACGGGGACCCTGGTGCCTAGTTCACCTCAAATTCCAGAAGTTTGCCTTCAGTCTTATTATTAAGCAATATATGTTCTGTTTGATGTTATGTTGTTGCTGTCTTTTGTCTTTGTTTAGATCAATTTGGGCAGAAGAAAAGACTGTATTCTCTTGCTTTGTAGTGCAGGATGGATTTTCTTTAGTATTGCTCCCTTTAGGCATCCATTACTTCATTGAAATGAATCCTTATTTAAGGTATTTGTTTCCTCCCTGTCAAAAAAATAAAAAAAGGGAAGGAGTTATTGCCTGAAAATATATGGAATTTAATTAAGAATTATAGCTCTTCCTTAGAAAATAATCTATCGACAGTAGATGGATTCTCCTTACCCCCAAAAAGCCAAGATCAAAAAAAAAAAATTTTAGAAGGAGCCTCAAAGAGATAGTTGAGTAGCTGTTAAGCAATCTGGGAATCCAAACAGAGCAAGAACATTTTATTAATCTTTACCATAACAGATTAGATACAGATTTAGCAAAAATTCTTTCCAGGCTGGTTATCAGCCTTTCAAGAGAAAAAGGAAGAACGGGCCAGAAAATTTTGTCAGGGAGTGAAAAACCTGCCAGGGGGCAGCGAGGGGAGCTGGAAGCCTGGCCCTGGGCTCTAGAAGATGCCTCCAGAGCCGTCATCTGAAAAGCTGTGCTTCGGCAAGGCGATCATAAACCGATTCCTCTGCCACGCTGGTTTCGTTGTAACTATGGCAACGCCTTTTCTCCAGACCAAAGTTCAATTATTTTCCATTTTTATTGCCACTGCTGTTTGCTTAAAGTTTACCAGGGTAACCTTCTGCCGGCACAGAGAGCAGATCCCAGATAGAGAGGAGGAGGAAACAACCTCGTGCGAAGCAGGACTGGAGAGAAGAAAATTCCCTGAAGCAGTGGAAGACCTCCGTCTGACAAAATGCCATCCAGAAGGAAAACAGTCATGTTTGGATCGGCTTTTCTTACCTGCCTTTGCTCTTTCGTGGTGATTTGTGTTGTTCTGGCGACCCAGCGCTGGATGAGCAGCGAGGTTCACTTTTCTGGCACAAGCACCAACGTTACCATCAGCCTCACCTACGGACTTTTCAGGGGAACCTGTAAACAGTTTCTTGGTGCGGGACTTCAGGTTCCAGAAAAGACCTTCCAAGGTGAGTGGTGTCACGGCTGGAGATGGATGGCGTCTTCTCACCCAGGCAGGTGACGGAGGTAGGAACGGCGTCTGGTTGTTGTGTTCATCTAGGACTATAATGCTTTAATGAGAACAAGAATATCTGTAAACCAGTCTGGGGGTTTAAGTGGTGTAAAATAAGGCCCTAAAAAAGCACAGAAATGCTGCAGCGTTCTTGCCTGGAGCAACTTCTTCTAATTACCTGTGATCTTAGTCTACGCCTTGGAACAAGGATAAAGCTTTAAATAGGAACTTTATGTAAAATCGACTTTAATTTCCAGAAGCTTTCAGTGAGGAACAGAAAAGCAACATTAAGTTACCAATTTATTAAAGAATTACAGACCTAATTCGCATTCCAGGATTTTTTTTTTTTAATTTCGTCATGTTAAATTAATTATTTGATTCAAAGCATTTTGCCACTTACTATCAAATTAGCATCGTTTTTGTAGGAGAAGGTTTTATGAGGCTGCTGAGGGGAAAAGAACAAAACATGTAAACCAATAATTTAGGTGGATATGGTGTTTATACGTGTGCTGGACCTACACATTAATGACATTATTCCCTTTATTTTTTCCTTTAAGAGCACTTAATTCCATTTTTAAGTGATATTATCAAACTTAACCATTTGGTTAGTGTTTACAAAACTTAGGCTTGCTCATGGCTTTTTTTTCTTATGCTAGACTGTGACGTCTGCATTACAACACAGTTTGTCATCTTCCATAAGGCCTTACCCCACCCAACACGTGGTTTTCGGGTGACTCCTCGTCATCGTGACTTTCCAAAAAAACTCTGAGATGAGCTTTGGAAACAAGGTCATTAGAGTAACTTTTCAGCAAACACGCAATAGATTCAAATTAAACTGTGTCTTATGTCGATATGCAACAGATCTTTCTTTTTGTGCATCTGCAGTTCTTGGTATTTATCCTCAATGGTAGAATTGCTACAGGAAAAAAAAAGAACAGAAATGGTTAAATAATTAAGGAGGACAGAATAACTGAGAGATAAGGGAGGAGGGATGCTACATGGAAACAAAACAAAGTTAGAAAATAAGAGGAGGGGAAGAGATTTTAGCCAGAGCAACCTTAGAGAAGGTTAAGACAAGCATGAAGAATCCTAGCGTGAGGAGCAAAACATGAGAAAAAGCAAAACAGAAGCAACGAATTATGTACACTGGGTACAAACCACAGACTCGATACTCATTTCACACAGTTCAGCAAAGATTTACCCAACTCTAGGCACAAGCAGCTCCACTGCTGTGAAGAAGAGCATTCACAAAGCCCAAAGGTAGATAAGCCTGAAAGCTGTTGCAAGGATCAAGGATTAGCACTGATTTTGGTTATCTTGCTGTCTTGTCAAGTTCAAAGCAAAAATGCTGATATATGTATGTGAAAGCAAAAGAAAAAAAAAAAACAACGGTCAAAAGAAGCCTAGCAAAACATGGCAGGGTGGTTGGAACTAGATGATCTTTGAGGTCCCTTCCAACCCAAACCATTTTATGATTCTATGAAACTTTGGAAGACTAGGTCAAACAATTTTGAACCACAAGATGCACTTTAAGAAATTTTCTCATTTTTGGTAGACTGTTGTAAGGTGTCTTGTCTTTGTCTGTACAGCAGCTAACAACACCCCAATCCTAGGGCCTTGGCGCTACCATCAGGTAGATTTTAATTACAATTAACGACAAGCACTCACAGAACACTTGTGTCAAGAAAGGATTTCAGTTCTTTGCATGGTCTACTTGCATCTTGGTTGTGGTGATGGTTTCCCCCCACACCAGATTTAGGTTTTTTGTTCCTATCGTTTCCAAAACATCATCTCAACTCTCACATTTAAGCCACTTAGGGATGAACAAAACGAGTGAGCTTCAGGAGCTGCCAGTTGCCTTCAACAGCTGCTGAAAATCGTGCTTTCTGAATAGTCTAAATCTGGATTTACCCACATCACTCACTAGTTCAGTTGGGCACATATCCAAGATGAAATGAACTAATTTTAAATTAATTCTTAGGCTCTATGCTAGGCATGATTGTCACATTTTACATTAAGTACGATTCTGTACATTCTTGAGATAGAAGAAATACTTCACAAAATTGCATACCTACTATTTTTAAATCCAAATAATCAGGTCCTCCCAAGACAGATGGCTTTTGTTTGATAGTATCCTTAAGTAAATGGACTGCCTGTGCTATGGAGAAATGAAGCACTATGCTTTCTCCACTCTAACATTTCAGACAACAGTAAGAAGAGTTATAAGCTTCCTTTTAAGTGACAGCGTGATCTGTCACTCAGCAGGTATGGCCTGGCTGGGGGTCTCTGCTCTGCTCCCTCAGTGTGTTTCTCAAAGGGCATTTTCATATTTGGGTGTGAGAAAAGATCAGAAATCACGAAGGACTAAATCAAAGACAACAACCTGGGGATACAGAGTGCTTGTTAGCAGTAGCCCAGGTTGACTTTTATTAATAGTCATACAAAAGTAGACGATGAACAACCTTTCCAAAGACCATAACTTATTATTTTGGAAACCAAAACATTAAAAGAAATTTCCGACCATAAAGATGAAAGACAAACAAAGGAATACCATTTCTGCAAGTGTACTGTGCATGAACTGCCTGGTCAGGGTACCCTCTTTAACAGACTGCCATTAATGACCTTGATAGAGCAATAAATCAGTACAACTACTTCAGAGGCTCTGGGGACGAGCAGAATGATCTGGCAGAATGTAAAAGTTACTAAATAACTTCAGTTCTTAGAGTCTTCAATTAGTTATTTTAATGATTTCTCTTAGAAAGGTACCACCTAGGAATATAATAGTCTGTAAAAGCTTGTTTACAGCTCTGCTTGTTTCCAAGTCAAACACGTAACGCTGTAAGGTGCAGAAGAGGTGTGCCCAGAAAGTGCTGTAAAGTCAGGATTTATCTGGCTACTGGCAACCAGGAAGGCCAAGAGCACACAATTTTGAAATTTGCTATAGCAGAAAGAAATCTAATAACTTTCTGACTTTTAAAATACATGACAAATACTTGACAATTGATAGAACTTCATTAATGTTATCATCAGTTTCCAGGATGTGCTATGGGATCTCCTGAAAAGCAAAAAGCTAGGTGGAACTCTTGGAGGGCTTTTTTGGTTTTGGTGTTGTTGTTTGTTGATTTTTTTTTTTAAAAAAACACAACAAAATTTCAGCTAAAAAAAAAAACTTGATTCAGCTCCAAACTTATTTCTTGAACTAGGCAGTGCCCCAGCAGTAAGGCTGTTTCAGCATGAGGGCATGGTACAGCCGGTGGTGTGCTTACTTCCATTTAATTGAGTGATGTCTCCCAAATGCCTGTCTTTCCAATTCTTCCGGGAGAATGGCTTAAATTTGCATCTAATTTCCACAACACATCCTTACCTGCCATTTCCTCAAACAGAAATCAACTTCTACCAGGAATAATGTATAAAAATTAGAGAGAGACTCTCCTTTTAATTTCTTTCCAATAGCTCTTGTTTTTGTTATGAGTGTTTATTTCCTTTTTATGGGTTTTTTACTATTTCTTGTTGATATTTTTACTGCTATGACTTCTCTGGTTTATGCACTAACTGAATACTCTGCAGTAATGACTTTGTATTAAAAGCAGCATAGAGAGGAAGTTTTCCTGCAGATGGCTGTCTATCACAACACCCATTTGAACCGAGCTTGAGAACATTGTTCTCAAATTTGTTATAGGGTAAGGCAGCCACAGGCAAATTATAGCTGCCTTTTCAATCTTTAAATTGAAAGAAGGAAAATAATATATTTCGACGCAGCTATACTGCAATTACACTTTGAGTATATTGCATTCACATCCATGTCTCTTATTATCAGTGAAAATGGAGCAGGATTTAATTCTTTCCTTTAAAAGAAGGGAGTAAGTACTGTGTCCATCATTTTTTTTTCTGTGAGACCTGGCAAGAGACAGATCTAGTCAGGATCTGAGCACCAGCTCAACCATGTCTTGTCTGTCCATGAATGACTATGCTCAGTTATGTTTGTCCTACAAATGCACCTGACCTTTCCAAGCTAATGGTTTTACTGGACTTCTAGAGGCTGTTCCCCTTGTCAGATTTATTCCATATGAGGGGATGCCGCTATATGAAAAGGAAATAAAACTTGGCTCCAATTGCAGGTTAAGTCAGACATGTGTAGAACTTGCCAGACATCTCAGGAGCGATGGGCAGAAAAAGATCTAGTTTTCTGATCTGATGCAGGCACAAAATTTCTATCTGGCCTCGGCAAGAGGAAATATTAGGGAAGAGAAGTTTACTACCCAACCTGATGCCTGGGAAGTTTGTGTGCCTGCAGGATCAGCAGACATGTACTTGTTTCAGGCTGATGTACCTTCATCCTGTTTTGGATTTGGGTTCACATGCTCTCTCCAAACCTACTGTTCCTTCTACATCCTGATCCTAACAGATCAGTCAAATCTCTGATTATTAGCCTTTAATTACAACCATGTCAGTAAGAGATAAGGTCATCTGAGCCCACCAGACTGTGCTGGGAAGACCAGTTATCAATGCTGAGCTGCTGTTATTTCAGTTACAGACAACCTGAGCAACACCAAGGCAAAACGCACCATCATTGCGATTATCGCGTTTCTGGTTCTTGGTTTACTGAGTTCCCTCCTGAGCTCTGGATTTACCTGCACTAATGCTGTCAGTAATCCCTATGAGACGTTTTTGGGACCCACTGGAGTCTATACCTGGAATTCCTTATGCGGTGAGTAACATATCCCCTGCTGACAATTTTCTGCCCACCATATGGATGCATGCTGTATTCTCTAAAGATGAAGAAAAATGTATCTATAAAAGGAAACACTTGGAGAAGTATTGTCCTCGGTTAGGTTTGGGTTTTAACCATGTCTGCTGGGATACCTGAAAACTATCTTTTAACTACCAGTAAAATAATATTATTTACTTGAAGCGACACCATCTTTCAGTAGGAATCCAAATTCACTGGAAGCAAAAATGGAAATTAAAAAGCCCCAACAGGAGCAGCATCATTTCATGCATGATGTGCATTGAGGAGGACAGGGTAAGCTGACAAATACAGAACGAAACTGTAACAGAACAGCATGCACTGGATGTGACTACAGTGCAATTTCTAACCTCTTTAAGACCTTAGGCCACTATTTTATGGTATTTGTAGCATATTTGTTTCTGGGTTACATACCTACCAGATTAGGCCTCTAAGGTCTAATCTATAGGATGGACTCTAGCATCATTTCTGAAAAATGTGTTGAATCAAATACATCCACATCAGCATTAACATGGGGAGGGTGGCAGTTAGGAGAACTGAGTCATGGCAAAATTTGTTTCCTTCTCTAAAAAGCACTTTCACACATCAAAATAAGTTTTAACATTCCCTAAGCAGAAAAAAAAAAAAAAAAATTGTAGAAACACTGGGTTGTTAGAGACGTGAATTCTGTCAAAGAGCTCCCCAGAGGTGTATCCAGGTAGGTTTGAGCCTGGCTGCTCCTAAGGCACCTTGCTACCCTCTCCATCTTGCTATGGTAATGACTTCAGCTCTCACACTCAATTCATCTCAAGAGGATTACACGTTCCTCTAATACTAGGTTTGCACTCAGAAAATTTTCTTTAAAGACATCTGATTACAGAGTACTTCACCATGGTGTTTTTGTCCTTCAAGAGCTCTTGAAGTCCAAAGATGCTCCACTGGTGGAACAGGAGCTTGCCTTCCCTTGAGCAGTGTCCTGTCCTGGGGCCTGTGAGCTGCCTTGGCCAAAATCAGACCTTGGTGGCAAAGAAATTGTGTAGATAAACATAGTATTAATCACAGCAAGTACAGGTGGGGGTGTGAAACTCGCCCCTTTTTCTCCAGCTGTGGCTATCACAGCACGTAAAGATAGATGCTGAAACAGCTGTGGATGCCATGAAACACAACAGGAAAAGTGAGCAAAAGCCTAAATTATACAATTATTCAACTTTTGAGACAACCAGATCATTGTCTTACCGCTTGTGAAAGTTTGTTTCCCAAGCCCAGCATCCATCACACAGTCTGAATCTGCAGGTTTTGACCTGAAACGAATGGACCACGGGCTTGCCAAAATAAATTATTAGTGAGAAAATAAACCCTCATAAAATAAATATTAGTGAGAAAGTAAACCCTCATGTTGACTGAGGGCTGTGGTTACTTTTTACAGCCCTGTAAGCGCTATGACCTGGAAGTCTGTCTTGCTGTGGGCATGTTTTTATGAAAAATCACGCATCATTTGATGTGTATCTTGAAGGTTCCTTATTCTCCTACCAGATGGCCTGAAAGTCCAGTATCCTCCTGCAAAAAAACGGAACCTTTTTCAGAGGGACCATCTGTAGGATGGTGTACCTAGAAGGAAGGGATAGAAATATTTTCACTGATGTTCAGAGATTATACCTCTGTTAGCACTATGAAAGTAGAGGTGTATAAACATCATTTAGGTAAATGTCAAAGCAACTGAACTCCACTTATATTCAGAGGCTGTAGAAAATACATACAGATCTAATAAGATATCTCCTGTTGGCTCATGACAAAGTCATTGAATAATTCAGGTTGGGAAGAACATGAGGCGGTCTCTAAGTCTAAGCTCTTGAGCAAAGCCAGGCCAACCCTGGACACAGTCCAATTTGCTCAGGGTTTTCTCCAGTTGGGATACTGCACATCCCATGAATTTGAGCTCATATTAAGCAGGCATTCTGCAAATCACCCAAGGGATGAATATATCATACTCGTCAGCACGAAATTTGGGGGAAAACAAAATTAAATTAAATGGCCTTACCTAAGAATAGTCAGTGAGAAACCATTAATTTTAGCAGAACGAATGGTTAAGAATGTTGAGACACCTGGCAGATACTGTTAGGTGGGACGAAAATTCTTTAAATGCCCACATATTTTACTAATGGAAAATATTAGATTAATCTTTGTCATAGTCCAGGTATTCTAACCAATTTGAGTACAATACTTGCAAGGATAACATAAATAATGCTACAGTATCACCTCTAACATTTTTATTTATATTTTCTAGGAATCTTCATACTTATAGCCATGATACTTTTTCCTGTGAACATAGAAGTAAACAGCCTGTCTACAGAATTGGCCCGTGGATGTTCTTCTTCTCCTCTGCAGACACATATCAGTTCTGAACACGTTTATGGATATTCATATTGGATCATGCTGCTCATCGTTTTTCTGAACATTGCTTCTATCATCATCATCTATTTCTATGACCACGCGAGATATTCTAAGAAGAAAGAACAGGAAAGGCCCATTGAAAATGCACCAAAAGATGTCATTCTGTTTTAAGGATGCCACTGAAAAGAGGGTGTAAAGGAAAATGACTATTTAGTGTGGACAATCGTGGCTGATCATTTCCATTCAAACTGAAGCTGTGTGTATAGTTCCATTAATAAAATAGCCTATTATGTCTTCAAAGAAATTTGATTTTGTCTCTATGCTAGGTAATAATGTAGTATTTATGAGTTTTCATTGGTAAATGTGCTGCCTAAACACTTCTGAGTAGATACGTGCATGATGCCAGCACGGTCCCATAGGACTGGACCTCACGCACCTTACGGTTCTGCTCTTTCCTGGAGGGACTGCTGTGAAAACACGCTCCTAGAAGGGTTCCTCTGCTCCATACCAACACTGCCATCTTTCCAAGAGGACTGCACCCTCTTGTCCATGCAGTGCAGAGGAGCTGGTTCCCACCTCCTGCTTTCTGGATTGTTCTGGACTACAGGACAGACCTGTGGTGGCTGCTCCGGCTTTCCACAGGGGTGCACCAACATCGGCACCTATGAACGCATTTCTGCTTCGCCCTTTAGATCTGCATGGGAAGATTGGAGATATTCATTTGGTTGTGTATGTAATTTGGGCTCTCAAGGGGCAGAAATAGTGCAAACAGCTGGAACTCTGGAGATGATGAGAAACAGTCACTAAGGTGCTTCGTTTCGTCCTGCAATTCTTACCGCTGTCCTTTCCCTGCTCAGGGGTCGTCTCCCACAGGTCCCTACGGCACTGCCCCAGTGACCATGGGCAGGCTGGCAGGCTCCAGTTCACGAACAGGAGTGTGAGCTCTTGGACAAACTCATTTGCAGTCAGTCACCCTCACATCAAACCTCCCAAGAGCAGCAGCACTGACCCTGTCCATGCTTCTTTTGCTCAGAGCTTCCATCCGCCGCTGGCATGGCAGACGGGGCAGCAGTAACAAGAGGATGAGCCATGGCCTACAGAAGACAGCTTAGGAGCGCAGTACCTGTAAGTTATTAATTCACAGAAATATTAGCAAGATGCTGTTTCAGGCTATTTCTAAACCCTTGATTGCTGTTGACAACGAACTGCAAATCTGCACCTTGGGCGGGTGCGACCATCCGCTTTCCCACCCGCTGTGCCAGGCTGTCATTTGGCCTGACACAAAAGCCAAATACTGGGGTTTATTAGCAATGATTTATGGCCAATACCATCCCCACGCCATGTTTAATTAGTGTTTAACAAAGATACACAACTGTAGAACTGCTCAGACGTGGAGAGGTCCCGTCCTTTCCCCTCCAAGGGAAGGTGAGCAGATGAGCATGACCTTGGGACAGATGCCATCACACGAAATCACGCTTAGTGCACATGCCCCAGGAGAAGCGCACTGTGCAAAACGGTGGTCAGCACCTTCTGCTCCTTTGCTCCTCACCGCTGCAGCTGGCAGGACAGTTATTTTATGGTGGGGTTTTCCTTTACAATACTATTTTCACAGTCACTCTTGATGGCTGCCCTGTGGGATGGCTGCCCTATGGGATGGCTGCCCTATGGGATGGCTGCCCTATGGGATGGCTGCCCTATGGTGCAAGAGACGCTCATGGAGAAAAAGAAAAAGCATTTCTGAAGAGGGGATGAGAAGATACAAGAAGTGGCTTTTCACTGTTTACGTCAAAAAATAAAGTTTCAGGATTAAAGAGCCCCCATGGCAGAGGGGTTGGAACTAGATGATCTTTAGGGTCCCTTCCAACCCAAACCATTCTGTCATTCTATGAATACTTTATGCAGCTGTGTTTCTTCAAAGACATTAAAGCAGAGGGCTTTGCCATCCTGCCTAAGCCTTTGACTAGAAGAATGAGGAGGGCAGAGCGGGGGGAAAAAATAAAAGAGGGTCTCCAAGACTCGAGGGGTGGCATAGGTCAACAAAATGAGAGAAGTTATCTGCTCTCTGCTGCTGACAAGAACCATGCCTGCAACTGCTTTTCGGTGCTGTAAACATCGCCGTTAAACCGGCGGGTACCGCGCACCCCCGAGCTAAGCTGGCGGAAAGCCAAACATTTGCCGGTTTTGCTTTGGCTGCAAAATTTTTCACACGGTTTCAGCATGCATCTGTCACTGTTGTACTCCGCCAGCATCCCTCACACAGTACAATTACACTTTGCACTTCCTCGCAGAGAAATAAAGTCATCGTCATAGAAGGATGCCGGAGGAGCAGCGGTTGCTGCTTTGAAATGCAGTGGCTTACCATTGCTTGGGCATTTCTATTGCACTGAAGTACTAATTCCTATGGAAGAGCTGGAAAAAAACCCGACATTCCCACTTTCATATGCCTTTTTGAACTGCCTGACTTTGTTAAAAAAAAAAAACAATCAGTCTGGAAGTCTCAAGGGACCTTATGCTCTCCTGCTGACACGTATGGCTGTGAAGCTGGAGAGACACATGTCGCTGGAAAATCCCTGGGGAGTGAGAACTCACCTGCTTTGATGTGAACTAGAGAGCAAAACTAAAAAAAAAAAAAAAAAAAAATCAGATTTAAATTGTAGTTTAAGTTATAGGTGGCTAACAAGGCTACCCTGATAGCCTGAATGTTTTCTTTCTAATTAAAGACAGGGCTTTCCTTCTCCAGCTCAAGATAATCCTCTCTGCCTTATGCTACCTACTTCCTGCTTCATGCAGTGGTGTCAGCTTGGCAGATGTTGCTGAGAGGAGTTCAGCAGATGATGATGGGGCAGAGGAAGGCGGCAGCTTCCTGCCGTACAGGGCCCCGGTGCCCCGAGGGGCGGCCGCTCATCCTGCCTGGATGAACTCACCCAGCCCCGGCCACGCTGGGGGACAAGCATGGTGAGAGCAGCTGTGAGAGGCCAGGGATGCAGTGCAAGGGGGAGAGGAGAACGCAGAAAACAATCCCAAACTTTTCTCCCTATGTTTCCCCCAAAACACCACAACAGCCCCATAAAGCCGTAGCAAAGCGCTGCACGCCATGGGGATTTTTATTTTTTATAATGAGGCCACAAAAATGTTGGTTATCAGCTAATTGCCTGGATTTGAAGCATCTACTCCAGGTTAAATTACAAATATGGGAGCTCTGGGATTACCTGTCTCCCAGGAAGAGAGCAGGCTGGCAGGCAGATAGTTGGGATGAACAAGCAGGAATCCAAACAGTTCAGGTATCCATTCCCTGAATCAAAAGCTCAAGAAGAAGAGATTGTACATCTGGGTTTACAGCCATTTCTACCACAGGAAGAAAAAAGAGAAAGAAAAAAATAAAAGCAACATAATCCAACCTTGTATTCAGCTTTTAGGATATCAAAAAGGAATTGGTCTGGCTCTTGCCTACCAGACAGCCTTTGAAATGAATGGAGCTGTGTTCAGTACACTTATCCTCTTAATGAGGACAAATTCCGGCAGTTTACCCTTAGGTAAAAAGGGAAAAAGCTTGCACTGTCAGCTTGATGCACTCTTGAAAGAAAAATCAAGCTCCCATCTTATCTAAACCCGGGGTAATTTTACACATTCATCACTTGCCAGTAGTTGAAGCGCGTTGCTTTTCACCAGCAGCTGGGTCTGATCAGGTCAAGGGAAGGATCCGGGCTGAAACCAGCTGAAAGATGAATCTTCCCTCCAGCAGCCGAGGTCCCAGCTCCGAGCTCGCCGGGGCAGGATGCCTGCGATGTGCTCCCTTGCCTTGGAGATGGCTTGGAAACACAGAAAATTGAGCTGGACTAAGTGACTTATTTTGTTCTGGCTAAATAAGCATTTGGAAGCTTCTACTAAAGTGATCGTGATGGAACGAACATATCTTAAAATAATGGCATATAGCATTATTTGATAATGCGTTCCCACCTCAGAAGCTCTGGTTCCCATTTATAGAATCACAGAATGGTTTGGGTTGGAAGGGACCTTAAAGATCATCTAGTTCCAACCCCCCTGCCATGGGCAGGGAAACCCTCCACTACACCAGGTTGCTCAAGATATGGGCAACCATATGCAAGATCTATATTAACTTTATGGTTCCCTTGAAAAGTTTCACACGGGATCAAAGTCACACCAAATCCAACAACTGCAGAAATGCTGAATAAAGGCAACTTTTGCTTTGAAAACACAGAAGATGCTCAATGCCCGGTAAATTAACAGTTACCTTAATGTTCAGCAGCAGCTGAGAACATTTCATGAGACACACTGCAAACCTCGCAGCGGGCCAATGCAATAATTTTCGATGTGGGCATATCTACTCGACAGCACGGCAGAAGCTAGTTAACTCGACAATTATAGAAAAAAGAGCCGGCGCAGCTTTGCTGTTAGCCACAGGCAAAGAGACTCAGTCAATAAAACCAATCCCTGTCCCCCAGGAGCTATTCTGCTAAAGAGTCATCCAGCTCCTGCTAGTTAGAAATCTCTGCCGGAAGGAGAACTGCCAGAATTAACAGTCGATGTTCTAAATCAAGCGCAGGATCGCCGACGCGGTAATGATTTTTAGTATAGGGGTATCAGGGAATTAAAAATAAATATTACTCTTACAGCCCCCTGGCAGGTTTGGGTGGTGGAGGAAAAGGAGGAGAGCCTGAAGCCAGGATCACCATGGGGCAGAATCCCGTGCCCCATGACATCGGCTTTTGTGACATTGGCTGGGTGCAAAATGCTGGATTGCAGCTTTTTCCCCTGAGGGACCTTCCTTTAAGTGGGACAGCTGCTCCAACGTAAGGCAGCTCAGGGAATTATGGCAGGAAAACGTCCAGAAGAGCCTTAAACTGGCACATGCGTGAGCGTTTTATCCTCACGGTAAGACAGACCGATGTTGTACCATTTTTCCAATATTCCCTGACTTAGCAGCTGTACTTTTTACTACTGGAGTACCTTCCACCTAACGCTCCCACCTGCCCTAAGGCTACGTGGTGTGAGATGATGCTATCCATGCGTCACACACTAGGAAAAAAGCAGAGGTGTGACATAAGCAGGGAAAGCCCATGGTACTGCCAGCGCTTTCGAAACGCGCTGATCATCAGCTCCTCCCTGCCCTTCCACCTCTTCCTAGGAACACCTGGGCTTTAAAACCATGC